TCAGGAGATTCTCAGGATGGTGCCTTTGTCTGCAGAATTCTTTCTTGTGCCTTCACGGCTTTCGGGTGGCAGGGCCTGGTGTTTTAGGTCAGTTTGGCTCGCGGCGCGATCTTCGGAATTTGGGTTGTCCCTCCAGGTCCCCAGTGATGTCCGGGGAATCAAGCAAATCGCGCGAGGAGCTCAGGTTTTCGGGCAGATGATAGCATGGACCAATGGACAGATCAAGGAACCCCTAAGTCTAGGTACGGCGTAGTCAGGCCCCTATTAAAAAAAGCGTCAGGAGAGTTTCAGAGTCTGGCTGAATGAATCTTGAGCAAGTTCAACGGTCCCTGTGCCTGCTTCGCAGGGCTTGCCCACGGAACGTGGCGTGAGGAGAGATGTCCCTCCCCGCCACTTGGAACGGAACCCAGAAAACTGGAAAAGGATCCTCAAAAGAGTACCTGCCAAAGCCGGTGCTTTGAGCCCGGGGGTCCAGAAGTGCTCATGGACAACATCGTCGAAGATTTCGATTGAAAGACGGTCTTTGTGTACATTGTGTCACTCATAAATTTGGCCTCACCGAGCTCAAGGGCAAGGAGGCAGCCGTGCAAGATTGATGCACGGAGTGAGTGGATCAACATTTAGGCAGACATGCTCGGCAGCGCTGTAAGTCAGATGCAAATGCGGGCTCAAAAAAGAACAAGGAATAACTTGATACTGTACTATACCATATACTGTAGTGTACTGTACTGTACTAGGCTAGGCGGCTAGACTAAACTAGGCTAGGCGAGGCTGGCCTGACTGTACCATAATACACTTAACCGACTATACCATGATGTACTACTATACTATCTTTTGAGAGCTAACAGCACGACTTGCCGACCGCCAACAAGCTACTTGACAGAAAAATAAGCCACTAAGCTGAGCACCGAATCCAAATTTCCGCACTCCTCGTCACCTTCAGTTTTGAAACCCTTTCCACCAGAGCCGAGAATTCTCACCCCGGTGGTTCATGGCTTCGGGGTGAGTGATTTCGAGGACTGTACGATTTCTCTGGAAGTATTTCAGACTCAAAACCCCGGGTTTGGGGTGAGCTAGTTTTGAGAGCTCCCGGCACTATCGCCATGCGTGCCCGACAGCGAAGCGTTCATGCGCTGCGGCAACACTAAACCGGCACGTATCGCCCCATGAGCTCTGAATCGAGCGATGCATTCAGCAGACGTGCGAACGCTTCAGACGGGCCTTTACAAAAATGCACATAAGGCGCCTTGTTGCAACCGGATTCATGCGTGCATGCATGCAAAGCCCTCCACATCCATCTTCACGATGGAGTAGAAGCACATCATCGAGTGAGACGACCGCGACCATTCGACTAGTTTGATTGTCACCTCCAAGTCGTCTTCCCATGAATTTACTAAATGCTGGGTAGCGTTCTGTTGGCTTTGGTGCTGCCTGGTTTGCTGTTTCACACTCGTCCTCGTCGCCGTGGTAGCAATAAGTGTGAGGACAGACCGTGATGCACCCACAGCACAGGTATACCAGACCCAATCCAAAAATTACATCCATATGGATCCACGGCTAAAACGACACCATCTTGCCCGCCTCCTCCTCCTCTCCCCCTCCTCCTGCGCTTGCTCCTGCCGCTGCTTGCTCCTCGCTTGCTCCTGCCGCGCCTGCTCCTGCTCCTCCTCCTCTGCTGCTGCTGCCGCCATAACAACCCCAAAGCCCACACCGGAAGTCTTCAGAACCCCCAAATAGGAGCAGTGCAGCGATATACCGCTTGCCGACACCTCAGCAACAATTCGAAGCTCAACTGCTGTGCTGAAAGGTGCTCGGAATTCTGCGCTGTGGCCGCGCACGATTTCATCATGCATGCGCGTGCCTTTTGCCTGCTGGTCCCACTCTGGTCCCGTCTCTTCCTTACAACACGGAGAAGAACATCGAAGACAACGGACGTCTGGCGGGTGTTATATTATTGCTCTCAGAGTCTCCCTTCCTATACGTAAGAAAACAATCAGGGCTGCGGCAGACCAAAGCCCTAAAGGCACGCAGCAATCGTACCAGAATTGTCTGAAGCTGAGTGTGCGTGCGCAGTAGCAGCTGCAAGTAACAGAAGCAGCAACATGAGACGAACCAGGACGACCGAAAGCAAAATTGACAAACCACCTTCAAGCGCATTACGGTTGGAACTGTCACCCGAGCCAACGACCAACTGTTGCTCTGACATTCCTTCCCGGTGTTGCTCTTGCGAGATCTTGCGAGTGTCTTTTTTATGTGTGCTGCATGTGCGATTTCCCAGTACTTCTCCCACAAGCAGAATTTGGCCGCGGTCGTCACAAAACCTCGCTCTAACAACAAGACCGCAGGCCTGCCGAACGAACAGCACTCCACTGGCTGGTCGGCCCTGGCATTTCTGCGGCCTGCATTGGTGGGCGGCTGTATCGAATCTCCCATGGTGCCACGAATTCAATTAACACCGGCAAAGCCCTGTCGGTGGCAAACCTAAATCTTGGGTTTTAGGCTGTTGGTCGGAATTGGTAACTGGGTGAGTTCAGGGTTGCATCTAGGTTCCAAGGGAAGAGGTGAGGCCATAAAAACAAGCCGTTTGAGAATGAACATGATAAAGGCGCTTAAGTGTTTGAATAGGGTTTCGGGACAGGCTACAGTACGAAAGGAGGTATAGGAACTATAACGGAATAGCATTGTGAGTGTCTGTTCATACTATGGCACCAAAGCCTTTTCCAACAGTCTCTCTGCCCTCCGCTGCACGGCTTTGCAGGTCTTCTCCGGAGCTCCGTGAGATCGTCCAGCCTGACGTCCTGGCTAACCTTGCAAGAGTCTAGGATCACGGGCTTCTTTTTTGTTTGGTGTTTTGTCTTCGTAGGGCTTTGCATAAGGTCGGCTTTGAGGGGGGGTTACACATTGAAGCCTTTGTCAGCTCAGGGCTTGAGGCTTTGTTTGGATTCGGGGTTCAGGGCGTTCAGGGTCTAGCTTCAAGGTTTTTCGAGGGGTTTCGTGCGTCGAAAGTGCTGGGCTTTGGGCTCCAGGCTGCGGCTTCATCTTCGGCGCTGACCTTCGAACCGACTTCGACCACAGCGGTGGCTTAGGCTGTGGGGACACCCCGCTTCAAAGTAACACTCCCGACATCTCCGGCAAATCATAGCAAACCCATGAACCTTAGCTCAACTCCGATACTTTCCACACCAGCCTCCACAAGAACCACATGCCCAGTCAGCTGCTCCAATGAAAGGCTTCCAGATCCCTGCTGGGGCCTCTACAGGCCCTTATGCTCCCTGTGGACACCGCATAGCTTCTCCAAGCGTTAGTGTGATGTTTCTGGGCCTTCTTATGATGATTGGACTACTTATCATGAAGCCGTGAGCTTTACATACTAGTCACTATAGTCGTAGTAGCACCCGATCAACCCAAACCCCAAACTCGAAACAACATGCCGCAAAATCCCACGATGTTTGGCACGAGCAACTGGCACCCCGCAGTCGCCGTTGCGGCTGCTCGAGAAACTCCGCCTGGGTGGAGTTTGAAAGGGGTGTTTGTGTTTTGCTGACCAGGGAGTTGAAAGGAGTGGGTCCTACTTAATCCACGATGTTAAGTTGAGCGCTTCGGGGTTTCGGATTGGGGTTTGGGCTCTCGATCAGAGAAGGATCCGAGAAGGAAGGGGATTACTTTGGTGACATTCGGGACAGGTGGTGGTTACTGTGTGTCCCCGTGTGCAGGTGCACACCGGCGGGTGTCTTGCTATTGCTTCGATTAGAGCTGACTGTCACGCGGCAGGTTCTCTCATTTTCGCAGGGTGGGGCATGGAAGCCTCTGCAGCACCGACGAAGTGCTACCCGAAAACTTTGTTGCAGGTGACGGCATACAAACTAAGTGCCATCAACTTAGTGCTCGAAACTGACGGAATGCAAGCCGAAATCCTTAAACCAAACCCCGAGGCCCAAAATAGCAACTGCAGCTGCTACAGTTGGCTTAGGGTTTAGGGTTCACTCTCCATGCTTCCATTAAATTATTGCCATGAAACCCAACTCCTGCCGGGTCCCGGGCCCGCAGAGACAGGCGATGATCCTGCTTGAAACTTGGCAGCTCAAAACCCAGGAGCTTGTGACTTCGGAACCTCTATGTATGTATATATATATATGATAATAGTAATAATGCTAATAATTCTGATAATACCAATAACAATATTAATAAAAATAATAACAACAATAACAATAGTAATAATAATGATGATAATAATCATCATCATAGTAATTTATTTAGGGCAACAGCTGTCCAGGTGCTCCCAATGTTGAGAAGAGTGGTGGGGGCTAGGGCGTTACATGTTCGGCTCACAGTCTGCACGACGGAGCTGGAGTGGGCAAGACCTGTATTGCTTGGAGTAGCCGGCCAGCACCCAGCCCAGAAAAGAATCCCAAACTAACAGCCACACGAAGTAGCAAGCTGGTCTTGTGGACGTCAGTTGGGGGAGACGTGCTTCACCTCCCCAACTCCCACAGTACATGAATGCATGTGTGTGTGTGTGTATACGTAAGACGTAAGTATGTGTACACACTAAGCCCAAACCGGTATCAGAAACACCCACTGTTCCAATGATAACAAATGCAAGCTTTAGCCATGGAGCCATTCAATTTAGACGACAACAGCAGCAGCGGCAGCGGCAGCGGCAGCGGCAGCAGCAGCAGCAGCAGCAGCAGAGCAACAGCAACAGCGACCACAACAACAACTGCAGGTTCAATATGTCCTAGCAGCATTATCATTACAGGCTAGCATGGGGAACTATACATAGTAATAACAGTAGTAGCATTCATAGCCATGGTAAAAATCACAGTAACAGAAATAACAGTGATAATCTTGACGGTACCCATCAGAATAAAAAAGAAGATAACCCGATAAAGACAAAAAAGAACAACCGCAATCATGGAAATCACCCCAAAAAATGTGCTATCGATAATCGAATCGATAACAATAATAACACGAAAGCCACACAATCCCGAAGCCAATGCTCAGGTCTCCCACGGCTCCTTCCACGTGTCACTCAGCGCCTCTGCGCCGATGCTGCCGTCGGCATCCGAACGGAGCATCATCCAGCCAGGAACGCCCTGAAGATGAGTCTCTAGGGTTCAAGGTACCTCTAAACAGGGCTTTAGATACTTTAGACCATGATCAGATGCTCCACAAAAAGTTATGGATTTGAGCACTGTCATCCCCAATCCTTGCCCGACAAACCCACAATGCGAATCCAAGTGATCCCCAAAATCAGAGCATAAACAAAATTCTCAAACCCTAAACATGGCTTAAGCAGTGGAGCACGGCAGTGCCTCAGCAACAGACGTCACATTCGAGAGCGGGAGGTGCAAGAACGGCTCTGAGGTACCTCCCAGGCATCTGACATCAGCGCAGCTGTTCGTTTGTGTGTTAAACTTGCCGACCTGCTTGCTTACGTACTTGCCCATTGCTTGCTTACTTGTGTATATCGGTCTATCCGTTTGCTTGACTTAATTGTTACTTGTTTAACTTGTTGCCTTCCGTACGTACATTCCAGAGATGCACATCGAGCCCAAGACGCTCTCTACACCCTGTTGGGAAAATGGTTGCCCAACTTCTGCTTAACACGACGCAAGCCAAGCTTCGCAACCGCACAAGCGCTTGCAAGCCAGAGGTGTGTAGTGAGTGCAAGGTAACCCTTGACGCAAGGTTAAAGCGGCCCGTATAGTAAGCCTCACTTACACTGTTGGATTAACCTGACCCTCTGAACCTCGATCTCCACGCCTTGAAAGCCGGACCGCGTTCAGCGATGCTTAGCTAGCAGTTTCCTGAAGCCCTACACGGTTTAGGATTTCAGGGCTCAGGGTTACTTGAGGTACCAGAAACCAACTACTGTATACAGCTCAAACATCATAAGACTGGCATCCCGAAGCCCAAAACCCCACGCCCGACGGCACCATCCGTGGACATCGACCGCACATCGCCGGCAGAGATGCAAAGGAAGAACTTCTCATCGGGCTCAAAGATGGGAGACCTTGGTTTCTGCGTCCGCACACAATGCAAAGAGAGGGGGCTTAGGGTTTAGGGTCTTGGGCTTGGGGGGGCCATTCCAGAGAGGAGTCTTGAAGAGAAACCGAGCTGTTCCATCTGAGGAAGCTGCAAGCATCTTGTTTTCAAACTTGTTGCAAGGCTCAGAGTTTGGGCTTTGCGGGCTAGCGTCGTCTGCTATCTCTGGGTGACATGCTGGTCTCGGCTTCGATTGCAGCCATATGCAGGTTCCAAGAGTTCCAAAAACATTATTCTGGCCCTGCAGAGCCTACAGTTCAAGAAAGTTCCTGCCTGCACGTCAGAACCCCAAGCCCTGAAGCCAACCATACTCAAAAGCCCCCGGCCCCAAAGCCCCACCTCAAGTTTAGGCATCGGGCTTCAGGTTAACCAGAACTCAAAGCTCAGGGGCTTCTCTGCGAGGCGGAATCGGTGGATGCCAGGGTCAGTGACCTTGTTGGGGCTGGACCCTAAACCCTGAACCCTAAACCGTAAAGCCCTAAAACCCAAAACCCTAAAGACGGACTCGATTCGAGAAGTCCACGTCGGTCGATGTTTCTGTGGGTCTGCATTCCAGCCGTCCTGACTTGTGTATTAAAGAATGGTTTCACAAGCTTTCTTAAAACACTGCAATGTCACCTCAGAGAACAAACGGAAGGTCCGTGATGGAAACTGTCCACTCGAAATTGCACTTGCATCAATCCCAGCTGCCCCGGGCGAAGAGGACGTAAGCACAGTCAGGGCCTGGATCAGGATCATTGCAATGGAGAGGGCTTTCTGGGCCGTACGGGTTTCAAGATGTGGTATCGGCTTGCTAACGAGCTTCTCACTTCCTAGACATACACGTAGATCTGCGATATTGAGTTGCCCATCTCATAAACCCGATCTGGGTCACGGGTGGACAGCCCGCATGACGACGGTGGCTGCGACTGCTTGACCACTGCCGCATTGGCTGCCAAGTGCTGTGGCAGCAGTGGCGTGAGCTGCACAACAGAGCTGGACGACTCCATGCACACCTAATGGACTTGTCATGGCACGCAAACTCTGATGCAAAATCGAGTACTCCTGCATTTTGGCAATGAGTACTGCCTCTGGTTTCAGCATAAGAGTTGATTACCTTTGCTGGCTGAGCGACTGTAGTGTGTTGTCGGGCTAAAGTAGGCAGGGAGGCACGTAAGGGCACATGAGTACGGATGATTACTGCACAGATACACACGAAACTTGGTACTGAAGGGAAGTTGCAGATCGGAGAGTAAGCCCACACCAGGATGCTGCAGCTGTCTTTAAGGGGCGCACGAGGCCCTCACCAACAGATCACCACACTCTAAAAGCTGGAAAAACTAAAGTGCGAAATCCTCCGCCGCGCGGCACAAGACAACTATTGAAGACATGCTGCTGTAAATGTGCCCGTTGATTTGGAGTACTTGCGGCATGCAGCGAACACATGCGAACCACGTCGATGCTCGTGTGCAGTGCTTGCTCATGGCATGCTTAGTGCCAACTATACCATTGCCAGCCGCTGAGCATTCACAGGTGCAGGTCTAGCAGGCTCATCAACCCCAATGCCAGGGGGGCCTCGTAAGGCTTTGCAGCGTCGCGGATCGCAAGCCCCACAGACCTCACCGGTAGGTTCGGTCCAGGCAGTCGCCGGCTGTTCTAGTGGCAATAGGTTGTGAGCTGAAGAGCCGCAAATATGTACCAAGTATGCCATACATACATACGAGTCATGCGGCTCGTACTACATACAGGTGCTTCGATCCCCACTGTCACCGCCAAAACAGCCGCAACCACCACCACGATGCCGACAATGACTGGTCGGCAACCACAAGCAGCTTAGGCATGACTCCGGGGTCTATCTTGATGGCCGTCGCTTCGTACATGTGGCTTCCCTCTTGAAGCCGAGCCCGGTTACTCCCTATAGATCCGAAGCCCTAAAGCTCGAAACCCTCGACACCCCTCCATCCGGCCTGATGCCGATCTTGTCGCGCAGCGTGAAGAGCGAGGCCACGGTCAGGAGGCCACGGAAAGGGGCGCTCAGGAGGAGGCAGGCCTCCTGACCAGGGCTTCCGGGTTCGGAGGGAGGGTGGGGGGGGGAGGGGGGTTGCTCATCTCAGTAAGTAGCCCCTGAAGCACAAGGAGCTTCATTGCTGCTTCGTCCTGCTCAGTTTCAGAAGGAAGCACAGAAAAGAGGATACTAAGATACTGCTCCGCCGATGGCGCGGTCTGGGGCTCTTGGCTTTTTGCTTCCCTTCTTTGGCTTAAGGTCTGGGGGCCGGGCTTTCTGGTCTGAGTCCGTGAAGAGTGATTTATGTGTTCCCCATAATAAGGGTACCTTATTTTGGGGTCCTTATAATAAGGATCCTACTGTTTGGGGTACTATATTGGGGTCCCCTATTTTCGGAAACCCCCATTTAGGGGTTTAGGTGTTTTTTGTTGAGCTCCTTTTCCCGCCTGCAGATCTTAGGGTTTAGAGTATAGTATGTAGTCAGTGTAGTCTAGTTGCGTAGAGAACAGAAGGGGCGAGGATTAGAGCACTCATCAAGCTCTACATCAAGTCTCAGGGATTGACCTAAACGCCAACCATACCCACTTTATCAATTAAGCCCCCAAAGCTGAAAACTCTAAAGCCTTAACCTTTCTGAAGCCTCACACTACGCCCCGCGATCACGACCCCTCCTGGCCAGGATGTAATCTCGCGGTATGAGTGTCGATTACGTCGGACTGATAGGACCAGCCCAGATACCTTGCTCTTTTCGTGCATGCTTCGTTCGGCCCTTATTTGCCCGATTGGAGGTGCCAGATTGAGTTCAATGCTGACAGCTCAGGCCAACTGAGCCAACTGTAGGAGTCGTGTTCGGCTTTGGTGAATCTTTCGAGCGGGATACTATCGCATCTCCATATGCTGCTAGGCAAGGCACTGAATAAACACGTGCATGCTTGCTGTTCCTCAAGTTTGCGCACGTTGCACAAGTGCAAAAAGCATTCAAAGCTCAGCAGTCTCTGCTCCTCGTGTCGATTCTTCTTGTAACATCAGCTTTTACGGCAGGAGGTGCTCTTGCACGATCTTTCACGGAAACGAATGTGCTCTTTGGAATTGACCTCCCTCCATGTTTAGAACTGGGCTCTGCGGCGTTTATTGCACTTCGGCACTCCTCTCGGTCTGTGCTGCCTGACTTCAGCCGTCTTCACTATCAATGGTGCAGACTTTACTGCCCTTCTGGATGATAGGTACTGATCAGTTGCAGAAACAGGTGAGCTCAGCCGCTCGGGACTTCGAGGGTAACCAGATCCAGCCACGCTTCAAGGCTGCCAAGACGCCAATTAAGTTCTGAATCACTTGGCATATTGCGACTAAGCTTAGAGGTGCGTTTTAGACCAGATGTGCATCAAATCAGGTGCGCATCACCTCAACAGACCTACAGCTGGGCAAATATAGGGTGTGGTAAGTGGATAGAATCTGCCATCATCAAATATTGGGACAAGAATACCTTCCATCAAACAGCTTAGACTTTGACACCCTTTGGCAGCCTCAGCTCTCTTCGTATTCTGCCCACTGGACCGACGGTGATAATCGTGAAAAATATCATCCCGGGCCTTGAAACAACAACACCCGGATCCTAGGTGCCGTTTTGAAGCATTCCCTGGTCCAGAAGTCTCCGAAAACCTCCCGGAAGGACTTCATAGTCGTCGCATCGGAAGGTGCACAGTGCACGCCCCCATCGTCGAAGTAAAGGCCCAAACTTCCGACCTGTGAACCTGAAGCCCCCAAATCTGCTAAAGCCTACTACTACCTTAAACTCTAATTCCCTCATCCTAAGCCCTAAGACGCCAACCCCAGTCCGAAGCCCACAGCATCGGCTGTCGTAGATCAGCTGGGAGGCTGTCTTCTGAGATTGGACTCGGGCCACTGCGGACCTGACAAAGGTGCTTCCAAGGCAGAATATGGGGCTTCGGGTTCAGATTGGAGAGAGCAGGGAGGTCGCGCCTCTGCGACGAACAGGCTTCCCAAACGTGTATTTATATGTGTGTGTGTGTGTGTGCGCGTAATTCCTGTTCCTAAGGAAGTTCTTCCCTGAATACATAACAATCATTCGAAATGCAGGGGGCAGTGGCCCACTCAAGAGTCCACTGCCAACGAAGCTACTCTTGAGATGGGAGGATATCCAGGCTGATCACCTGGACGTACCTGCAGTGATGTCAAAAAAGACATCCGAGAGATTGAACATTCTGAATACCCCAAATTGATATTGCCAGATTCTGAAGACCCTTGTTCTGAAGTCATTCTGAATACATCTTGAGAAGTCTGCCAGTGAAAGAGTGCACCCAATTCGTGGTGAAGGATGATGAAAGACAACCAGCTTCGACTGGGTATGTGTGTGTGTATCCCGGTAGTAATTCTGCCAAAGCGCTGCCGGACTCCCGGTCTGCGGGGGGATGATGAATAAACCCTGAGCCTCCTTGATCTTCTCCCTTGACAGTGGACTTCTAGTCTACTTTTTACGATGAATATTCCCAACAGATGAATTTACCCAGATGCTGAGATGTGAACACACCCAGCTGATGAATGCTCCCGACTGATGAACACCTACGCTGAAAAGCTATGATGAAGAAGCTCTCTGAATACACCCAGCAACCTTTTCTGAACGTACCCTGGAAAACACTTCGACGATCTAGTTTCTTGAAGTCCACTGAATGCTTCCCTGAATACTCCCGAGCACCTTGAATGGCCTGAAAACCTATGTACCTATTGCAGAGGCGGTGTGTCGAGATTCGGAATCAGGCCATCCGAAAGAGCTCCGATGCACAAGTAGGGTGATGTGATGCTATTGAGCCTTGAGATCCGATTATTCCAACAGACCTCCAGCAACTGACTCACCCAACTTCTGAAGACAACCGAAGAGTCTGAATACCCCAGTACGCTGAATTCACCCAAGACACAGCCAAAACCGAAATACACCCAACATGTTGAACACTCCCAAGAAATCGTAGTTAGCAGCTTTCAGTTATAATACTTTGTTGCAATTGTTTTCGTCTTGTCGTCGTCGTCGTTGCGTTGTTGAATGAGTTTTATTGAGCCCAAAACATCCTGAATCGTTCTCCGTCGCCTTCTGAATACCTCCTGAATGGGCATTGCGGTACACTGCCTTCTGAATACCTCCTGAATTGGCTTCTGAATATACCCAAGACTCTGCCACATTGTTGCAACGTTGGATTGTTTCGTCCTGTCGTCGTCGTCGTCGTTTTGGTGTTGGCCTGTTCCTGCGCAGCGACACGTTCATGCGGATCACTGTTACTGTTGTCATATAGGTTGCAGCTGTATCAGATCTACCTCAGCAGAGTGTAAAGATGAGCTCCATGCGCGAGCGCAGTCGCAGCCCGCCATCCTCTCTTTCTGTATGGCGTTGGTGTTGGAAGCAAGAGAATGCAGTCTGGTATTGGCAGTGGTTTCGAGCAACGACACATTGGGTCGAAACACATCGCGCCATTTCAGACACTCCAATCGCCACGAGTTCATCTTCGAGTACATCTGCATTCAGATCCGAACCTGTTGCTAGGCCATCGTCTGAGAGTGCTTCACCCAGCCGAAAACGCAAGCGTAGTCGTACGCCTTAGGTATTCTGTTACAGCCAATTAGACTTTGCTGAGGTTTTATGCTCCTCAGCCTGCAAGACTCAGAGCAATTTCGCCATAGGCGAAAATACCGCTAATGCTTTTGTTGCTTCGTCCAAGCAGATGCTTTAGATGCTCCAGACACAGCCAGTCTTTTCTGATGCCACTGTTCTTTTGCAGCACTTTCTTGAAGGAACATAGCTTCATCCTCATCTGTGTGTTTAATGTTACTAGCACAGCTTCTTTCATCTGATCATTTTCATGACTCAGGTTTCATCGATGTCTTTCATCTTACAGTTTTGCATCAGTAAGTCTATCCTTTGTAGCCATGGCACCTACATTCAATTTTCATTTCTATGAGTCGGCAACTGGAAGCCGAACTACAAGATCGAGACAGCAACCTATGGAAGCTTTGCTGGACAAACCTCGCAAAGAACGACGCCCCAGCCGTTCTAGATCCCGAAGCAGACGACCTCAGCGTACTTTGCAGTCCCCACCGGGGCAATGGGAATACAGTGCACCAACGTTTTCGTATCCTCCGCAAGAATGGTTTGGACAGAACTTTCAGAGTGCTGAGGCTGGTTTTCAGCCTACAGAGGCTACTTTAGCCATCACAGATTCCCCGCCTGGGGACCTTCGTGCAGATGCTGCAGATTTTACACCCTTTCGCTCAACGACCACATCTACAACCACCACCCCACACCCTAGCAACACAACATCCACACCACCACCTGCAGTCACACTGCTGCCACCGCCTCCCCCACCACTTCCACCACCACCCCCACCATTGCTACCACCGCCAACCTTTCCACCACTCCCACCTGTGCCCTGCAGCCATGACACTATCCCAAGCAGCTCCAACCAGAAGCCGCCTCCCAAAGTCATTGAGCCCTCGTTGTCACCCTTTAAGCCAGTAGCTGGAAGCCTTCTTGGATTTCTACAGCGTGCCACTCATGCTAGTATCCCGCCGCCCAGCTCTTTGCTTACACCTGCACCTTCAAACCTTTTGAACGACGTGAAGCTCAACCACAAAGGCGAATCAAAGTCCTACCCAGCTCAAGAGCCTTCTGAAGATGATCTTGCGTATGCAGTGAGGTTAGCGAACTCGATTCCTTTGAACTACGATTGGCCTCCTCTAGGACAAGTCCCGCCGTCGCCTGTGCCCAAAGGATTGTTTTATCCTTTTGAGTTTGCCAAACTTCGAACAATGGCTCAGCGCAAGCAGTATACTCAAGAAGATTTCGAGCGCTCACAGCAGTTTACAGCTGAAGATCTGACTCGATGGCCCATGTGGTTGCATGATCTGCTTTCTACGCATGGAGAAGTGCATGAGCATTCTGGTGAGGTTGTGGAGACTCTTTCTCGCACCATGCATACTTTGGGATATCAGCCTGCCAGTCTTGTTTCCTGGGGCCGATCTTATCGGACACTGTCGGGACGAAC